CCGGTACGGCCACCGCCACTCTCGGAGCAGGGGCGGGTCGGACCAGGACTGGGCCCGGCACCACCCCCCGGAGGGCGAGCACTCCTGGGGCCGGGAGAAGTACTACCCCGAGAAGACGCGGTGGGACCGGTGCCGGTATTACCACGACAGGTACGCCCCGTACGCGGCCAGGGAGCTGCGGCACTGGAAGCCTTTCCACGGGGACAGGGACTGCGACCGCGCGGCCCAGCACGGCGGCCGGCCCTACAAGGACTACTACAAAGGCAGGAAGGGGTGCGAGCTGGTCGTGAAAGAGAAGGAGGGGCCCCATTTCGGCAGCCCCCGCGGGGCCCCGCCCCACGCCCCGCCTCTCTACCCCGACAAGTACTCCCACGGCAAGATGGCACTTGGGGCTGAAGACAGCTGTCACCTCGCTGATCGGTTTCACGGGCACGAAAGTATAAAGCCGCGGAAGCGGAGGTACGATAGCATGGAGCATAGTGACAGTTACGCAGAAAAGAATGCGTGGAGGAGCTTGCAGAGGGAGCCTTTAGACGAGCCGAAGGCGAAGAAGCACAAGAAATCAAAGAAGAAAAAGAAATCCAAAGACAAACACCGAGAGCGAGACTCCAGGTGAGGGTTGGGCCGGGGCGCGCGCGGGGGGCGCATGCGGGGGGCGTGTGCGAGTCCCTCCGCTTCTGTGCTTACTAAGGGGGCGGGGGGCTGTGCCATGCTTATTAGGTTGATTTGTGTTTCTCATCTCTGTGGGTTTTCAGATTTCACTATTTACAGATTTCTGAAATTTAGTTCTGCTTTTAAATTGTATCTTATTGCATGGTATACAGCGCCTAAAAAGTTCATTTTCCTAAAAGGTATTGCCGTTTTCATTAATGCTTTATAACTCCAGGAGTAAGTATGCGATGCCCTGTGAATGAAATCTTTGGGTCTTTGACCTCACGATTGGTGTTAATATTCTTAATTGTCAGATTAGTTCTATTGTCACACCTGTTCGTATTTTCTTCAAACTCGGTGGCTACCAGGTGAGCAGAGAATGGGAGGCCACCATCCCTTCGATGTCTGACTGCTCGCTCTACGTGCGGATCTGAGACGTGTCCTTCGCCAACTTCGTCTTTGTCCATCTTTCTGTCTCCTTTTCTTAGTTTGAAATCTAATTGGGAGATTTGCTTTTGTATTTTTAAAAAGCCAAGTCGCTCGGCAATTGTCTTGAAAGTGATTTATCTGTGATGCACTAGGTGAGCACAAACAGAGTCACTGTATGTTTTATGCTACGTACATCTGACATCTCAGAAAATCGAAACTTTGGGAAAAGATTACTAAAAGCCACTGGTAAACAGTGGTTACCCGAGGGAAAAGGAATTCATAAACACCTCCCACGTGCCTGACACACCTGACAAGACAATTTTTTTCCTTTAGCCACTAGTTTCAGGAAAAGTTAGCAAAATCCTTCCTCTGGTATTTTGGCCAACTACCTTAGCTCCCGAGTAAACCTTAAAGGCAGTGGTGGGATGGGGTTGAAATCGGAGAATTTATGACTCTAGACTTAAAAAAATTATTACAGTGAAAACGAACTGCGTTTTCAATTAGATGAGAATTTTACCCGCGTTTGCACGACGTGTCCGCAGTGCCGGGCGTAAAAGCCAAGGCCCAGCTCTGTCTGACGGTGCCTTGCTTCTTTGCCGGTCTGAGTTCTGGCTTGTTCTTCCGCAGGCATCAGCAGGATTCAGACCTTTCGGCAGCATACTCTGATGCTGACCTCCACAGACACAAAAAAAAGAAAAAGAAAAAGAAGAGACACTCAAGGAAATCAGAGGACTTTGGTAAAGACTCAGAACTGCACTTACCCAAGGCCGCCAGCTCTGAGACTGTGGACCATTTCCGGAGAACTGACGGCGGCTTTCCCCTCACCGATGGCCTGCCTCTGGAAGGCGTTGGACCTTTCCGTGAGAAAACAAAATATTTAAGGATGGAAAGCAGAAATGACAGGTGTCATCTGCCTGAGTGTGGCCAGGGTAAGAGGAGATACTTGGAATTAAAAATGTAGAAACTGGTGTTTTTGGAAAAGGTGATTGACACGCGAGAAGAAAAACTCAAATGGAGTAAAAGGGTGTCCAGCCCGCGCCCCAACTCCAGACAGCACGCTCAGCCGCGTGGCGAGGCCGTGGCGCTGAGCCCTGAGCCGCTGTCGAAGGCCCGAGTGACGAGGAACTGGGCCTGACAGTCTCCGGATTTGCACCTTGGGAATTTAGGGCTCTGGGTCCCCAGGTGGTTGCCTTGTGACGGGGCAGAGCTTTCGTTTTAAACCACTTTTGCTAGACGTGTTTTCACAGTATGTTCTGTCTCTCTGGAACCCTTAAAGCTCTAGCGTTCTGAGTAGAACCTGAAAGTCACAGTCTGTTGACTCGAGTCATTAGGGACGTCAGTTGTCAGCCTCTAGCAGAGCGCCGCCTTCGGGTGTCTGCGATGTGGGGCTCTGTCTGGCTCCTGCCGAATCGCTCAGCACCGCTCAGCGCTGCCGGGGCCCGGGGTCCTTGTTTGCTTCGTGAGCGCGCGCTCCCTGCACTCATGGCAGCCCCTCCTCCCCGCGGCCCTGGCGAAGCAGCCGAGCCCGCGAGAGGCGGCCGGGGCAGCGGGCCGGGGCAGCGGGCCGGCGCGGAAAGGCCAAGGAAGCCTTCGTTTCACACGAAGAGGACATGACGTCTCAGTGTCTAGATCTGCGGTGCAGCACAGCCCGGCCTTCACGGTCTTTTATGAAAGTTTGCCGTCCCCTCCCCCAGACACCTGAGCTGTGCTTTCCCGACTTTGGCCATCGCCTGGGTGGCCCAGTGGTCTTTTGGTGCTCGACCGAGCTGTCGTGTGTTGACGGCAGGCCCGGCCTCCCATGGCCCAGTCAGCGTGATTGCTGACTGAGGAGGGACCCATGAGCCCCAGTGTTGGCTCGGAGAGCAGCGGACACCATGAGGGGTGGTGTGTTCCATTGGGAGGGCACGTGTGACCTGCCATGGGAACAGTGGCGGCACATGGCAGCCAGAAAGTGAACCGAAGGTGGTACTTGCTTGTTTTTTTAAGAGATTAATCTGTGTATTTTCAGATTGGTTTTCCACGAACGTGTCAGCGATTGGGGGAAGGGGCTTGGTGAGGATGCGAGTCGCTTCTCTGCCTAGTGATTGGGATGAAGTAGAGAGCGGGGCTGTGGGTACTGCGTGGGGCCCCAGGGGATTTCACATTGTTGCCGGAATCGTCCCCTTCTGGGACTCTCCAGGACCCAGCCAGAGGCTGCCAGCGCACAGCGAGTGACAGCCTGCCCACCGAGCCGGCTCTGCAGGGGGAGCACGTTGAGTGCAGACTCGGAAGCTGGCGTTCGGGGGCTCTGATGCGTCCAGGGGCTGCAGTTGTGTCCAGTGGTGGCCCTGTGCTCCTGTCCCTGATCCAAGTGTACTCGACTGGTGTGCAGCCAGTGCTTCCACTGAGCAGACCGAGGAGCTTGTGCACCTGTCCCATCCTGTCCCCGCAAGAAGGGCTAGTCACTTGGCCTTCCATGCCAAGCTTCCCTCCCAGCTGGCTGGGGACGGACCCTTTTGTCTCTGCCATGTGTCCTGTGTCCTGTGTCCTGGTACCTCGACCACTTACCTCTCTCACTGACTCATGTTCTCTGGCTCCATTAAACTCTCACTCTCTTCGGCCTAAGGCCTGTTCTCCTAACGTTAAAAGGCTGGTCAGTTTGCTGGGCCGACGGGACTGTTCCAAGGCATGGCTTTCGTTGCATCTGTCCAGTGGGACCAGCGGCCCTCAGTCGTCACATCAGCTTGTTTTCAGTAAAGCACTCAGAGAACAGCTACGTGACGGCACGCACACACTTGCTCATCCTCGTGTTGGTTTCAGGCACAAACGTTAAACTAAGAACTGGTTCTAAGTGTAATCACTTAATGCACACGCAGCGTAGCCACTAAAAATTTTATGAAACTGTCATTAAACTGTTTTTTAACCTTTGCTTGCTTTCTAGGTGATTGAAAACTTGGCCTCAAAACAGAATCCACAAGTTACGGTAAGCTGTTTTCATGTCTGTGTATTTCGTAATTGTAGAGGTACCATGGGGACATACATGGAGTTCGGGGCCTTGGGGACTCAGGAGCAGGTGCGGGAGGCCCTTCTGAGCTCCAGGCCATGCACTGGCACTGTGTTTAGACTCTCTCCTCATCAGTCCTGGCTGGGGGACACTCGTGTCCCTAAACCCAGGCAGTCACTCCGTTCTCTCCTCCCCATTGTAAGAAAATGAGTTTAAAGTGTCAGAATCAACAATCATTTGATAAACCTTTGAAGAGATTGGGAATCCAGTTTACTCAACCCAGATCTAACTGGCCTAAGAGAGGAGCCCCCGGGACCCCCATTCCTTCATAAGACCCCCGAGTCCCCGTGCTTCAGGAAGCTGAGTTGGCGCGCCCCCGCCTCACAGCGCACAGGCCCAGAGCACCTGGACGTCAGGTGTGTGCGACTCTTCCCTCTCTGTTCAGACAGAAAGGACTTTGTTTGAACGAGGTTTGGGTCCTTCATAGCAGAGCAGAACCTTGAGGGGCCAGCTAATTGACTACTGGCACTTTTCTCAGTGGCCCTGGGAGATAGTAATTCAGGTTTTGTGCCCTGCCCGTGCTGAGGTCAAGGGGAGAGTGAGCCATTTGCCCTTGAAAAGGAATTTTGTCCAAATGTGTAACTTCTAGTCAGCAAAGGGAGATTTAAAATGAATTTCAAAGTGAATTGTCTTCAGAAGCTTATTTGCAGGTAATTAACATGCTTTATCAATGGGTCTTTCAGGGAAAGACCTAAACCTAATTAAGGGATTAAGCTCTTCCCGCTGAAAGGGATTTAAGGATTGGCGCGGTTGGGGTTGCGGCCCATGCCCAGCAGATGGCGCCCTCCTTGCTGAGCCGCCGGCCTCAGGCTCCCTCCACACCTGTCTGGAACCGCCCAGCTCCTTTATTGCCACCTGGGGGGACCTAAGAGGGAGTCCTTGAGCAGTTACGGGGTTGCAGCCCCCCGAGACTCGGCCCTGTGTTCCGACTGCCTGCCTCTTGTCTTTCAGATTGAACATGTTCAACAGAAGCCATCCCCAGCCCAGCTTAAATTATAAATATAGGAAATAACTGTTCAAATCCGCGTGGTGCTTCTTTAGTAAATACTGTACAGATTTTACCATGGACTTTTTTTTTAGTTTTTATCTTTTCTTAATGACCCTTATTCCAAATGGATGAACACTTTCTACAACTGCTGACCGCTGTAAAATACCGTGTATATAAATCACATTGAAAATAACGCCCTGGACTAGAACATCTCAAATGCTGCTTAATCACAGACTCAGGTTGATCGCCCGTATTCCATGTAATGCTCCTCCAAGCGAGACAGCCGGTGCAAGACCAGCCGGGAGACGTGGGAATGTTAAAAGTACAAACGACTGACAGTATGGATATTTAATTTAAAGACTTATTTAAAGATTCACAAGCTCTCAACTAGACTTTGAGAGCAGTCTGTTTTCTGTAACGTCTGATACTAGAAACTAATCTCACTTCATATTTTAGTTGTATTCAAGATTTGAAGGCGTATTTTATAGACGAGTTCTGTTTTTGAACTTTGTGGAACTATTCCAATCAATTTACCAGATATGATGAGTATTTACATTATGAATGTATAATCCAAACATTATTTGTAAAGCCTACAGTATGTTTTTTATTACATAACTCTTTTTTATACAGTGTCTCTTGTCTTGACTATGATATTGGAGTCTGAGTTGTCAGCTTGGTCCCTTAAAGTTTCTAGTTACAGACAAAATCATACTGTGATTTTATTTTTAATATGGATATGCTATCAAACTGTGATACACTTATAATTCACTGGTCCTGCATCAGGAGATGGAGTGGGGAAAACTGTATTTAATACAGTTTGTATCTGAATAATCTGTATGGTTTATACAGTTTGTGTTGTTCAGAGATGTCTAAAGTTTGATCTTTGTTTTTTTAAAGATTAAAAAGCACTTGCCCCACTGTAAATATACAGCATGTAAAATTTATATAGTATATAAATGGCAGCAAATTAAACATTTCGTGTCTTATTTTTCAGTGCTCTTTGCCCATTTGCTTACAGACACTCCTCAGTGGCTTCTTCCTGTCGCTTCGCTTTCTCAAAACCTCCACGCTCAAGCCGCGGGCTCCGGCCTGGAGGGGGGACCCCAGGCTGGGGGAAGGGGAGTCGGTGAGTGGGTTGCTGGACCCGACAATCTGTTTTAAAGAACCAAGTCTCAGACAGCCTTGTAACAATGCATTTGCTTTTTATTTAGTGACACAGTATTTGAAAGTGGACAGCCACAGACCTTCCAATTCTACTGACTATTCATTTTACAACAAAATATTGATAAAGGATATTTTTTCATGCAAGCCGTGGGAATATATACATTGAATAAACACTCCAGAAATCAATATATATGTACATTATTTACATATTAACTATATTTACTGTAAATAGAAATGTTTCCTAAGAAAAAATAAGAAAATGAGAAATCACAACATGTGGTTTCTGGTCTACAACAGACCTAACTTCTCGGCAAAGCGCATCTATGTAGATATATGCATTTTAACTTTAAAAATAGGCATTGCTTTACATGAAGCATTAATGCTGCTTCACCTATAAATAGCTTCTATTTGGACTCAGTTTGGTACCACATTAAACCGCTCAAAAATGTTCTGTGATCCTGAAGACGCTGCTTGTCGGGGTCTGGGCCATTCAGCTAAGGCCCACCTGCTAACCGGGCCGGTGCCCCTGCCGCCCCCCACCCTGGGCTGCTGGCTAAAGCTGGGGAATGAAGTCAGCACTAGGCACAGACGCGGGGGCAGGAGGAGGCGGCACCACTAGGCCCGCCCGGCCCAGGCTGGTTTTCTGGACCAGGCCTGCCGGAGTGCGTAGTGGGGGTAACGGCTGTATGCCTGTTAGATTAATAAGATTAATACTGTCACAGTGAAACCTGGAATTAGGTGACTTCACGTAACACTGATGGCAAGGTATGTGGATTCTAAGCACCACGGCATGTTCCTGGGGAAACAGCCATCGAGTGAGAATCCTTCACAGACGACCAGAGAAAGGTTCTCCCCGA